ACAATCGTGATCCTGTAGATGATCTGGTATGCCGTCATTGTCCATATCATCGTCTATACTGTCAGGAACACCATCATTGTCAACATCTTGGAATAGGTCATGGGTTCCATCACCATCTGCATCCTGGTCGTTATGGTCGGGAATTCCGTCATTGTCGTCATCCTTATCCAAAACATCAGGAATGCCATCCTACAATTAGAAAACAAGGAGGTAATTTTAGCGAATTTAAACTTTGGTGGTTAAAACATTATCACCGACCACTTCACGTGTTACAAACGGTACAACAGGTTCTAATAAAATAATCAAAGATGGGACAATTATGACCGCTTTTTAGCATAAGTAGGAAGTCTGTCACCATACCCGTGAATAAATATTTATATCTATAAAAGACAACCACACGATTAGGGATTAACATGCGGAAATTAATCACACACACACAGCGAGTTCTGAGGGCTTTAAGTCACTCGATTTTACTAGATTCACGTTACCAACGAGTCTGAGAAAAAGTAACCTTAACTTCGAAGCCGTATTTTGGGTATCAACACCTTTATTCGCACTAAGACGCTGCTGAACCACCAAAATGCCAAAATGCACTAAAATGCCGTCAGTTTGCATACACTGATTTTTTCCGCTGTCTACACTTAACTGAATATTTAGGCACGTATTCTCTGGTTGAATGGGTCATAGATGGTCACGTTCTTTAAATTTTGCACATTTTGGTAAAGGCCGTGACCAGTGGGGAGGTCTGACACCAAGAGTTGGGCCGAAATGCTGTCGTAAATCAGCTCATCATCTTACTATTCTACCTTAAAGGAAGCTCAGGCCACAACTCTACTCATGACATTGATGAACCAACGGTCAATTTGTGCCACTGAGGTTCATTTTCCTCCTTAGGAGATACTAATCTTGTTCAGTAGTCGTTTCCCATCTCTCCTAATATGAAGGCCCATTTGAGCTGTCGACAGCAGATTGTCGTCCAAAGTTGCAGAGACGATAACTCATCGTGTAGCATGGAAATGTTTTGAATAGACCACCAGAAGTTTCGGATCTCTTGTTTGCAAGTTTGACTGAGCACTCAGATTATTTCTTGCTACTTGGCAGATCCCCAGGGGGCGTAAATGACAACATAAATTTGGATAATTCCAACTTAAAGAACGTCACACAGGTTTGGGAAACTTCCAACACTCACAAGTCCGGCTACCTTAACTGCTGACCAGTATTATCAGATGATGCCGATGTTGATGATGACGATGTCGACCAGACGAGCAAATTCATTCACGTGCAAAACAAATAGAGACGGACGCTAACTTGCGCTTTAAAACTGAAGCACTGAAACTCAGTGAACAATGAAACTGACTATGCACCCAAATTTAGGATAAATTGGGAACCAAACGAGCTAGCTAGCTGGTGCAGTTTTGATAGTGTCTTAAGTTTGGAACAGATCCCTATGTTATACCTCAAGTTGCTAGGCCGAAGAGGATGGTTAAGCAGCAAGAGTAGGAAGGGAAGTTCATATCTAATTTCAGTCCATGACTTTATCGAATGTGTGTTTCCCTGTTACCGAACTTAAAACGAGCCTGGTGAACCTAAACATTCAGCTAAAGGGAAGAGAAGATAGACGAAGTGTTTGTTTGCTGCTATAAAGAACATTCCACAGAAGTGACAAGGTCAAAGGGGTTTTTCCTCCATCAGCCACTGCCGTGAATTCTACAAGCTATGAATGTTTTCCAGGTCTATTCTCCACATAAGAGAAGCTCGATTTGATATGTGCCGCTGAACCTCCAATCATATTTGTTTTTCTGATAATTTGAAGCACAATTGAAAAGATTTTTGGAACCACCGAGAGGACTTCTCCCAAATTTGCAGAAGACTTTGGATGCTGGTGTCGAATTGATCCCACTGTATAAATGTTAGTGAGCATGACAGTGCCTATTGTGCCACGTATATGGCTCCCATATGACCATCATTTGCTAGGTCGTTCGAAGTAAGTACTGACGTAATGGGCTACTCATAAGGTTGCTGAATACTCTTCGACAGCCACTGACCTGATTCGCCCTTCTTGGAGCTCATTAGGTAGGCGTAGCCCCCCCTTCGAGTTTCCGTCATCCTTGTGTTTTACTTGAACCCAAACCACACGAAATTAGCTAAATAAACTCATCTGTATACCAATTTGGCTTTGATGGGAGACTCAACCGGAACCCAGCAGAATCTCTCGTTTAAGATGTTTTGAAATAAATTAATGTGCTGCACCAGGTCGCCTCATGTTTCAGCTGGCACAATATCCGAGATGTTGCGATACATTGTTTAGACGTAATATGCTACCCATATTTTCCTTGAATTTTTACGAGTTTCTGGGGTGCTTACGCGAAAGAATGCTGACTTTTCGGCAGCTACCCCAGCTCCTTACTGTGAAAAATGGTGGAAATTTCACCTCTGAGGACTGGCTTCCGGGGCCTTCGTAAAGAAAGCTTGGTCATCTAGATGTGTGGAAATTTGGTATTTTGAGAATTACCGTCATTCTGAGTAGCCCAGTCTGAAAACGAAACTGCAGGCGATGGTTTGTTCATCCTAAAATATTTATAGGGATTCTTCTACTCAGTAACATATAAGTAGCAAGGTTAAGCCTAAAATTAGTTTACCGACCAGATTGCGGATTGAAAAATTCCTTGGGTAGGTTGAGGGCGATGCAATATTAATCGTAAACCTCGTGACATCTCAAACCACCTCGGAGCGTAGTACTCCTGTTTCTTCAGCCTTGTCTCCGGCCTTGCATGGTCATTCTGACTAGTACAACCGAACAAGCTTGACCGTCAGCAAAATACACTCATTTGCAAACGAATTCGGTTCTGCAAGAGACTCACCTGGAACCCAGATGAATCCCTCGTTTGTGATGTTTCCAGGCAACTTAGTGTGCTGCACCAGGTCGCCTCATGTTTCAGTCGCTACGATATCGATATATCGCGATACATGTATACTCGTCATGCACTACTGTGCTGGAAATTCTTCGACAGCCCATGACTGGTTTCGCCCTTCTTGAGGCCCATCAGGTCGTTAAGGTGTAGTAACAGTAACCTCGGCCTTGCTCACTTTCTTATCTCATCTTCATCGGTCTCATCTACTCTCACCAAACCCCACTGAACTTCGTTTCGCTTCCCTCATTCATATAGGTAGATGCAGTGTTGCATTTTGTAGTACTCCCGAGCTTCTTAAGGACAGTATTCAGATTAAAATTATGCCGTACAGTCAGACGCACACCTGGAATCTACGTTGATCGCTTACTTTTACCATGGTTACGTTAACAAGCAGGACACTTTTCTCTGAGAGGAGTAGATGGAACATGCGTTTTTCAAGATGGAAAAAATAAAAAGGCTTGATACCGCCTGGGGGACGCAGAATTGGCATTAGAGAGATAGAAGTCTATCTTGGTGTTGCCGTTACGATATGAGGTTAGGCTTAGCATTTCATAACCAATAATAAATGGTTCCTGGTTTTAACCTGAGACTGTTTCCTGCGCATTCATTTGGGTTATAAACACTTCCTAAGTCCTCATCACGATGCTTTACCTGTATCACTTTGCTTCTGACTATTTTCATGGTGTTTTCGGGAGGTGAAGTTACGCTGTGTTGAAAAAATCATATATATTAGGACACTAGATGGTGGCCTCCCCAATATGTAACGTCCACAGAAATGTGGCGGGGATTGTTCGCTGTGATTCTTACACAATTCTCCTCCTGATAAGGTCTCCGAGGCAAAGCATTCTCATCGAGAGGGTAATCTTAAAGTCATAGTTCATTTCTAGCGGTAAATACTTTAGTGCAACAAGCACCGCATGGCCACGAAGAAGGCACTTTTCCGTTCCGTAATTGACTGGTTTACTTCTCAGTTAAGGAAATGGCTAGTGCTGAAAAGCTCCAAGTGTGGTTGGCACGCCAACCCACTGGATGAATTCTTTTCGCCCGGAATAGCCATAAAGAGTAATTTGGTTAGACATACGAACAAAACATTTATTTGGATGTTTCACAAGTGGAACGTCAACTAAGGCCTGGGGTGAAGCATCAAATGGCAGTTCAGTGTTTCTCGAGGTTCGCGTAACCACCGTTGTTTTCGCAGTTTCAAGGAACAGGCAGTTGGTTGGATGGAAAACCAACTACTAATTGATAGAATAATTGACAGAATAGTTTATGCTGGCTATGAATTACTGTGCACAACTATCGCGTTGCGCTGGCACGCGTGAATCAGAGTTAATCAAGAACACTGGACAGTGGAGACAATCACCGATTTGGAACGGCAACCTCTGTCCCAAAGTGACAAAATCTGTTAGGATGTTAGGGATGAAATTTCGACCAGCTTATTTACGTCACCGAACAAACTGAGACCAAGCATCTATCAACTGAATGTGGACCGAAAAACCCTTGTTGTAGCAGAATTTTTTGTTGTAATGGGTTCCCTTGAGATGACTGGCTATCCTCGCATCAATCATCTGGACCCAAAAGCAGTTTCAGTGGTCTAGCGTATTTTTATATTCAAATGCATGTGGCTGTTTGCATACTATTCTAGTGAATTATCGAGATACATAGCTTTCCCCACCGCAAAGCCCTGTAACTTGAGTCATGATTTCACCAAGTTCCGTCCACCCGCAGAAAGGTGAAAGTGGACCAGACTTCTTGACGGTTCTCCGATGCGCTAGCCTGATGGGCTTGTCCAGATGCTTTGTGTGGTCAATACATCTACTGCTAAGTGGACCAATAGACAAGTGACAGCAAATTCATGTGTTCGAATCTCATTGGTCAATGAAAGCCGATGCGGAGCTGTCCTCCAATGAACTCACGCTCTTTTACATCTCACTAGCGAAACCAAACGGCAGTGTTTGTCATGCTGCCAGGTGAAACGTATGTCGGTACGCGACTAGTAGCCGGGTGAACCGAAAGATGGGCCTAACAAGTCAATTCAGATAGTTGTTGTGTTCAGAGTTTTTAGGTCCTCGAGACCTTTCAGTTTCCAAGCTGTGTAAATTCTAGGAGTGGTTGACTGACCTTCATTAAGGCAGGCGTTGAGGGTATATTTGTGTCCCCCAAATCAGGGTTTTGATGAATCATTACAACCCACCAACTCGCTTTGATTAGGGAAACATTTTTTCCATCACTGCACATTATTAGCTTCACCCGCTGGTGGCATTAACTACCGGTGATTTTCACGCTACTGCTACTTACATTCGCCATGGCACAGTGAGCCAGCTGATTCCACCACAGGCCGGTATACCCATTTGTGTAGCATTACCCTTTAGTGAGACAAACAGAAACCTGTTCTGTACCTGTTTAATGCGGCAGCCAAAATTTGTTCAGCCAACACGTTGGCCCGGGGGTTGGAACTTATGATAAATATGTTTCGCCAGAAATCTTTCTGGCGAAGTACCCCCAAACGAGGCCTCCAAAGCGGAAAAACTCAAGCTATCCTACCCTAACTGCGCATTATTTTCAAGGGTGGTTTGACCAAGAAACTGGTAAATAAAGCAACAAAAGAGAGTTGCTGGAATATTTCTTGCTGTATGCCCAAATAAACTTTTCACCATCCATCTCTGATCAGGCAAGAAGTAAAGAAAAAACAGTTTGTCACAACACTTCCATGTGTCTGTGAATTGGTCTGCTCCTTTGGAAATAGCTGTACTGGTTCAACGATGCTGCAACTGTCAAAGAGGATTTCTGAGAACACACAGTCTGCGATACTGCGTAATTAGTTGTTTTATCCCATCTGCTTTACACACCAAAACTGGGTCAAGTTTCAATTACTTTTAAGCCAACTTATTGAGTACAGGTCAATACGTCAAATTTCATAAGAATCAAGCTCTTTTTACGGTGACAATAATCTGTATTGCAGACCTTAAGTTTTCATAGACACTTAATTGGAGAGTAACTCTTTAGCCACACGTGACTTGCCGAAATAATATCCTCTTTTAATAGTCACTACCATTAATGGTCGATTTGGACCAGATGAACGTTCACTCAGGAGTACTGCAATTTGTTTCATCCCTACTAGGAGTTATCAGCAGTAGGTATATTAGGATTGTCGAAGGAGGTTCCAATTCACGACCCCTAGTTGGTAATCGAACCATCTGCCTTTAATTCACGGTTAGCCAGACGGTAGCGCGGACAGCATGCACTTTATACAATAGGATTTTACTGAGTACAGGTCACATGAGCTTGCGCCGAAGTAACGTTACTGAATTCTAGAAAGTTTAAATAGTTTGAGATCATAATATCTACTAGTCACGTGATTTCAGAGTTGTTTATTTGGTGGGATATTCTTCCTGTTTTTTGATGAAAATAATTCAGTTCTGATGAGTGCCACGAATAGTAACTGTTTTCCTTTGCTCTATTAATTCCAGTTGCAGAATAATAATCCGAGTGAGATTCTTTTGAATGCGTGTTGGGTGTGGGTCTGCCGAAGTACAACAACTGTATACCGGTCAATAACACCCAGAGTTTTGAACGCCGTCACGCCTAGGTAGAGAAAGGCTGAGATATTTAAGCCTCCTTTCCCAGAAGATAGTGCATACATATGAAAGTAACAAAGCCCTTCGGTGCAAACTTATCAGCAAACACGAAATAAGCAGTTACAAGACATCAGACACGAAAGTAAACGTCTCATCTGCACAGAGTTATTGAAAACTGAATGTTCTCATGCGTCCTCTCGAACTCTACTGGGCATTCATTCACTGTTAAACAAAAGTAAACGAACACTTCAAAGTTGCAATAAACTTCACATTTCATCAGATACGGGGGCGGAGCTTGGACACCAAATCATACGCTACTCGCATGATTCATCAGTAGCACACGCCGTTACACTGGTAGCGGCTCCGCCTAATTCTAATTATACTCCATACCTATAACATCCAGCTAAAAAGTGCACTTACGTTATCGGAATCTTTGAAGTAGTTGTATGCGGGATGGTCAGGGTCATGCAAATCCGGGATACCATCATTATCATCATCAGTATCAATGTGGTCGGGAATAAGATCGCCATCACTATCCTAATATAGCGGAGAAGCGAAGGAAGTTGAGGTTTGTAAACAGGTAAAAACAGGAAGAGAATTACGCCGCAGCAAGGCTTTCAAGACAAATTCGAAACGTCACGCTAAGGAAGCTTCAGACCACTTGGACAGACTGAAATATCTGTGTGCAGAGTTCGTCGTACGCCACATCTTAAGAGAAACCCTGAAGGTACAAAACTTTTGCCACACATTGTCCCCTATGGTTTGTTGATTTCGGGCCATACTTATGGCCGGGGGTGAAAACCTGGGTGTCATTGGAACAGATAGACTGACTCTTTTTCTTCTCATGTCGTGAGCAAATCATACAAACATTTGATTTTAGGTGTTAGATAATGTGGAAAATTAAACAGGATATGACAGTATCCTATAGTCCATCTAGCTAAAAACTTGACCAATAAGGACCACATCTTTAATGCGATTACGTTAGTTTGAAATATGTCGACCGATCTATCGGCTAAGTACAACTAAGAAATGTCTGATGGGGTCTCATAGAGGTTAGTGCTGCGGTCCCTCAGCAAGAAATGTTCTTCGAAATTGCTGGTTCCATTGCTTACCCGTGGTATTGGCTGCTGTCAGGAATACATGAAATCCCATTTACTTTCCTGAACGCAGTTAGATTAGAGTATCACTCTTAACCAGTTGAGGCAATGTGAGAGAGCCGTACATAGCGCATACAAATAACTGGTGCTGTGGTCACTGGAAATACGCAACTCAACTGGCCAACAAAGAGCAAACTTCTCATCAGCTTCAGTAAAATCAGCGGGTCGAGCTGAGTCGGCTTTTAAAGTCTACCGGTGAAGTGAGAACCAAACACCCTCATTTCGAATGTGCGCATTTCGGGTAAAGCCAACTGAAAAATAAGTTATACTCACGTGATTGTTTTGGCAAAACAGGCTTCTGTAGCCACCTGACTGATACTTCTTTTAAGGCATGCATTACAGGGGTCCTACCATAGAATCATGTCAACATTCAACACATTCGGCCAGCCCACGTACTGAATCTAAACGACCTATCATTTTTTTTACGTCTGTCAGCCGCATAGGTTGATGCGACAAACTGTCTGTTAACCTGCGTGGTCGAATATTCACAGTAAAGCTGGCCGCCACCTACCTCCATACCTCCTGGCTTAAGTTAAGTGAATACAGCTAGGGCTTCTGTATATCTGAACTCGTTTTGACTTGTTGCTCGGATGGCCGGATAATCTGGTTTTTATTTTCTATGGTACGGATGGCACAAGTATGAATTGCATTGCTTCGTTCTAGTGCTTTGCTGTGATATGATCTCAAACGAAGTTGCGCGGCAATGCAAAGAGCGAAGGTGATCAGTTGCACTGCGTGACAGAGTGGCTCCCGATAAAGTCACCATAGTAAGCTCTATGTGGTTCAAATCACCATGCGCCAGTGCATCCTAGTTCTGTATGCCTAGCAGCGACGGACGATCTATTTTGTTTTCTTAGCAAATGTTGTAACTTCCAAGACACGTCTCTAATCGTACAAAAAACGACGCACACAAGAAATGGTTCAACTGTAACACTTTCGGTGCCTAGCTGACACGCCACCCGAGGGAAGCACGAGGGCTGCCCGTTCGCCCAAACCTAGGCAGAAGTCTAGATGCAGAGGTCACGTTCGTCCGGTTAGTAAATTCGCACTCTAACCACTGAGACATCTAGCCGCACAACGACACAGGTTGGCCGCTAGCGACATAGGGTGCAATGATTACTGTACTACGCCGAGGAAAATCACGTGCACCTAGACTAACATTGTGTTTAGATAAAGTGAACTACAGTTTGGTCAGTCAAATATATGGAAACAACTTGGACGTTATTGGTTATAATGTCTGATCGAGCTCTTCGTCGATTTTCAAGAATAACAGGTAAAAGAAAAAATATCAGTTTGAGATGTCAATCATATCATATAATTACTGGTTAGGTCGAGGTTCAAGCATATGTTCCGTTTCCCATCTCATAGCTTACAACTAGCTAACTCATGGCAGAGATAAAATTTCATCTGTTGAAACGTCATCATCATTAACATGGAGAACATTACATCATTGGCACCTTTTTTGAACTTCATATCGACAGGCATATAACTTCTGACTAGAGACCACTGTCAAGACAGACATAAAGATCAGTGTATCTCTTGGAGACTTTCCATGGTCAGATCAGAAAAATCACTTGGTATTAGAGGTTACCATAAGTTGAACTCTTTAGATAATCCCTGTAAAAATGGATGGCCATAATAGAAATGGAAAATAGAGAAAGCACGTGATAATATTCGGTTACTTAGGAAAAAATATAAACACCGTTGAATATGCTTCTCTTTTTAACAAAGAATTCACGTTACATACCGCAATTAAATGCCACTGGTTTTCGGATCCGAATTTCCTAATATGAAAAGGACCCTGAAAACCTTGTTAAAAAACCAGTTTTTTGTGAAAAACACTGCCCCTGGGTATTGATTTCACTGATGGCCCCGACTTCAAATCCAAGTAGACTAATCGGCCATTTTGCTGTGTGTGACAAGCGTAATCCAAATACAAGATACATGCACTCGAGTAAAGGATCACTTACTATCATCATAATCATGGACAGCATGACATCAGTGTTAAACAGTGATGTTTCGCTGCCATACAACCATTTATTTGAAGGCCTTATGGTGAAGAGAAGGACAGGGAAAGGACTTATTGGTACCTCACTACAATCATTCTGACGTGTCCACACCTCCAGATACTCATTCAGGCAATCTGGATAGAAAATGACAACAAAACACCAATGACACTATTAGTAGCCATATCTTGCAGCGTCTCCAGCCAAGCTCAGTGGGGATGACGCGGTTTCCACCCTGGAAGACGACTAGCACCGACAGCACGTAAACGTTTCGTGCTCTCTTTCATACCTCTCTGCCAGGTCAAGGGTTGGTCACCTCTCTGTTTCCGCCACTCTGAACTGGTTACGGAAAACAGTACTCTGTTCGGCAAACGATGCTTCGGCACACGATGCTTCGGCATACGCAGTACATGGCCTAAGCAATGCAGCTTCTGGCGCTGGACACATTCTTCAATGGAAGTTCCCGTTGCATAATCGAAAACTCGCTTTCTAATTGCCTCATTAAGCAATCTCCGCCACTAACCCACACGAGTTCTGGCCCTGAGACAGCGATTGTCGAATACCTGAAGACGTCTCAGTTCCGCTGCTCGAACAGCCCAAGTCTCACAACCATACAACAAAACTGGCCGCACTGTGGCCTGACGCACACGTGCCCTGAGATTCAGGGGTTTGCCGCTTTGACACCATAGGTGTCTCAAATTGGCGAACGCCAACCGTAGCTTGCAGGTTCGTGCACTGGCCTCATCTGTCACACTACAATCAGAACTTGGAACACTTTGAGCACTAATAATCTTTCATTTTCGTAGTTCAATGCATATGTGCTGCTCATTTCATCAAATCCAGCGTCACAATGAGCTTAATGAGATTTTTCTAATCAAACGCTTCACTGTTACATCTCATTGTTAAACTAAATTTAGGCATTCTGTCAGCCTGTTTTAACTTTCAGATTTCGAAGATATGCCCTGAGAAAGCCTGATAATTATCAAGTTAAGTTCCCATCCCCCGTTCTTTTTTGAAGCAAACTCTCGGATTAAAAACTTACCTTGATGATACAGTCGGGGATACCATCACCATTCGAATCTGGATCTTCACTGTCTGGAATGCCATCGTTGTCGTCATCCTCATCCCACTCGTTTAGAATCCCATCTCGATCGCTGTCCTGTTGCACAAAAATATGTTCATAACAGTCGACTAATGCATCTAAGTTGGTGAGTTGCCTGATATAGCTTTTAAATGGCTAGCTGTTTAATGATACGTCTTTGGCACCTCTAGTGAGCAAAACTTTGCGGAGCGAAAGTTTCAAAATATTTGAAATTTTCATCCCAACCTCTCGGACTTGTTCTGTATAGGTAACCTAACTCATGTTGTCTCTGATTGCAGCTTGGAAGCGATAAAATTATCATGTCATATCATATCAAAATATCGTATCAAAAATATCATAAAAATGATATATCATATCAGCACTCGTTGCAGCACTGAAGATATCGATGACTTCAAACGGTTCTCCAGATTTGTTGGCGCAGAACAAAACAGCGTTGAATCTGCAACAGAAATCGTTCAGTTTTCATCCCCAAAGGCCCGAAATTTAAAGGCTATTTAATCCAGATTTAAGTTTCCGAAGATTTCTGAGAGATATTAAAAAACCCACAAGCGACCACTATGAAGACAGATCCATTTGGTTTGTCGCTTGCTGTACAAGAGCGACTAACTTCGTAGGGGATCAGACACATTTAACTTGGATCCTGCAAGAAGTGAACCCCTTAGGAGTGTTATCATTATTTATCCAACCCGCACCATGGCACTTTTCGTGGTAGCTATATTTCCAAATTTTCTTCACATAATGAGATACTTGAATACAGCCTTAGACCCAAAATCAATGCATTACTCGCAAGGCATAAAACACCGGTGTCTCCAAGAAACATGGACAATGATCACCACTGGCGGAAAGTGCAAAAGTTTTTTGTCATCCCGCAGATCAAGCGCAGTGAAACTATAGTCTTTCTGATGTCTCTTGTGGGAGGAAGATGTTCTTTTGACTGTTCCGTCAGCGGCAAGGCGAAAGGTCAACTTTTATCATTTACTGATAGAAACCCTCTATATCCCACGAGATTTCACAGTGATTTGGAGAGGATTATTATTATTATTTTATTATTTGTTATTATTATAAGAGACGTTTATCACAGTGATTTGGAGAGGATTATTATTATTATTATTATTATTAGTATTATTATTATAAGTAGACGTTTATAGTTTATTTGTCGTCAACCGCAACCAAAAGGTTATCTATCGAGGGAACGATGCGTTTTCTTTTTCTTAAAGAAACAGTGTACTGATGAGAATTTCTGAAAACTCTTCAACAACCGATGATGCCTGACGTCGTCAGTAGGTTCAACTTCCGAGTTTCCATCGAATTTGTATTCTACCTGGGTAAGTAAACATTGAACATTCGAAATTGTGATTGGTCAAGGAGCTAGATGTGTTTTACTTAAATCGAATGTATTGCTTGTGTAGACTCCGTTTTGCAGGGTGAACCTTCAAAACCTTACTTTACTCCCAATTTTTTCGAGCACACGAGGTGTTGCAATCAAACACTGGTGACGACCATCAATGAAAACCCGTGCAACATCGCGTGCTTATCCCGAAAAACATCCTGGAAACAACCGTTTCTTTGCTCCTTGATAGATTTGTGCGGAACACGATTCACTGCTCTTCAGATCCAGCATCCTTTGAAAACACTGGCTATAGATGGCGAACATGATGTAGACTGGAAGCTCATCTGGACTTCAGAGACCAGATTCTAATATGTCCCCACTAGTACTGGTCATACCATTCATTAAAACGGGTATCTAACACAAAAGTGCGCTATGAATGTGCAGTTGTTTCATAATGAGTACCGTTAGTGTTCTAGCAGAACGTTTACAGCGATGTGCAAACCAACACGCCGTGACAAAATTTCCTCGGTTTTTAAAATGAGGCCATTTTTCAGTCAGGCCATTTTGGGTAAGCAAGTTTCTAATGAGGCCCGTGCGCGTTAGCTTGTTCCCCACCCACGTCGTCACAAAGCGGCCATATTGTCAACTGTAACATGTTAGCTTTTCTTGCATTTCTCAGTAGCTGCTAAAATGTCTTTTTACGAAGGCGAAATCTTTAGGCAATAAAATCGTGAAATGTCCAAGGATCTGTCGGTGAATATTTCCGCTGTAGGCAATCTTACGAAAAATTGCTGAGGACTGCTCGGTGTGAATTCTTCTGGGGATCAGGTTTTCTTCACAGTAGTCTATCTTGGGGTAAATTTCAATGGCTTCCGCATTTCATGAATTTGCGCATCTCACTCAAGGAGACGTGGAACCAAAACTGTCTGTTTGATTGAAAACAAAAAGACCTGTCTGCAATAATATTCGTTATTGAATTAATACCATGTGTTTTGTTGTTTTGGGAAGGTTCTTCAGGTAGCATTAATGTTGATTACTTGAACGTATTGGTAAACTTACCCATCGATCTTTCACTCATGATTAAACAAGGCTAACTCATGGGTGGCAGTCCTTGAAATTCTGAAAGCTACAAATGTTCGTCAAATGCACCCTTTCAATTCCCTCTGTAGATTTGACAGAAACAGTTGAACTGCATCTCAAAGAATAAACACAGATTACATAATAATGAATTGCCAAAAAGTCAAGCTGCAGTTCTAAACGGAATCGATTTTCTTAAGTCTAAAGCTCAGTTCCAGGACGTCATCAGCTTTGACATTCCTAGTGTGATGGCAAATTTGTGACACCTGTAGAAAGTTGCCGGGCAGCTAATCACGAATCCTAGAGTTTCGGAGTCATTTCATGTTTAACGCTTGTTTTTTTGGAGAGAATTTTGAGAGACTGGTCTTAAATCGAAAACAGAATGACAGAATTCCCCACCAACGTTTCCTCCCCCCCTATCGTCACAACAAACTCTTGCCCAGATTTATTTGCCATGATGTTCACATTATTAAGCCTACGATAATAAATGTCCCAGAATCAACCAATAAACAATTACATCTGCTCTATTCACGATTGGCTTTCGCTTTGCGACTTCCAGCTAGCGTCCCGTAAATAGTCCTTTCATGGGAAAAGAAGTTGTCCTCGTTTGGGACAAATGCAGCAGATGACCGCACACCAAAATGGCTGAAAACTTATGCAACCATCTGCATGCAAATTGGTTTCGCTTGGCACGTACTGTTGTCCTACACCAGGCAACCATCTCTATCGACGTTAACAACATCGCGCTACTTACTATCTATCTATCTATCTATCTATCTATCTATCTATCTATCTATCTATCTATCTATCTATCTATCTATCTATCTATCTATCTATCTATCTATCTATCTATCTATCTATCTATCTATCTATCTATCTATCTATCTATCTATCTATCTATCTATCTTTCTATCTATGTACAAGGAGTCTGCAACTCAGCCACGATGGGTAACTCTAAAGTGCAGCATCTGTAAAACGAGTAATTCTGAGGTGGCGAGTTTGGTCATGATGCTACATCACTCCACTATACTTTCGAAACTCCATGCTTTAAGCTTCACTCAAGCACTGACATAACTTAATCGAATGTTCACCAAGTTCACTCAGTTTATAGACAAATGTAGCATGCTCATGCAGCTATTTTTGAATGAACAAGGATTTTATATCAGCTGTAAACTGTCATATTATTATTAAATCCGAAATATGGCGAACGAGTCTTTCATTTCAAGACCATATCTGTTTGGTTGGCTCCAAGTAAACAAAGTTGAAGACCTGGTCGGATGTCGGTAAATTTCGACGACTATGTACTTGCGAACACTTTTTTGTTTGGCTACAGTATACGTGGAATGCATCACACATCACTCTTGTTTGATTGCGCCAGGATAGGATAACTGTTCAAACAGAATGATCTGAACATGTACTTTGTGTTTAAATAAGGATCATCTCACAGAATGAAGCATCGAAGATACGACGTTTCATCGTTTTCATTAAAAACCCTTAAAATACTGCTTAATCGTGCTGCACCCAAACAGCTGAGCTAATCAGAACGATTGTGCTGTACTTCTTCGTCCTAAGTTAATCCAGTAGTAGTGCATAAATAGCCCATAAATAGTTCACTGTTAATCAGTCATCTCTGCCAGACTTTAAGAAAAGACTCAGATCACACTAGAACTTAAACCTCTTTTCCTCTAATCCGTAAGTAATCTGGTTCTGGTTCACTGTGGGCAAATAATAATTAGAATTATAAACAGAATTATTATACGACTAGAATAACGATCGGATAGTGATGCTGTTTGGCCATTTCCGTCAAGAAGAGACTGGATCTTACCGTGGTGTGACGGTTTGTGTACCTCGGCCCCCATTGAACTATATTGGGGTTGTCCGCGCGACACCCGCAGAGCTTCTTATGCCAGGTTGGTCAATGGACTGAAGAACACAGTTTCCTGGTCCTCCAGGTTGAAGGTTGGAACATGTGTGACGACTCGTTTCGTAAAAAAACGGTAGTGTATTTGCATGTAGTTCCAAAATCAGCTCCCTTGCGGTCTGGCTTTTGAGCCAATAGTTTTGGCTAGGGATCCAAAACGTCCTCCGCCTAGGTCTGGGTGCCCTGGCAGTATTCCAGCACCCGTACAGCCACGAATTGCACATATACAAATGAACTCATGCCACAACATCCGTCACGCGGTGGCATCAGCCGTGTAAGCTAAAACATGCTACTGCTGATGCTTCTCTTCTTTCTCTTTCTCACACTTTTTTTCCTCCTCTCATCATCGCATTATTAACTGTCTTCTGGTAGACCCACCATTTAGGACTGAAGACTCCGTTCGTCCTGCAACGGTTTTGCAAGCGACAGCTGTGCGTCATCCGGCGCTGAAATCCTCAGACATCTCGAAATCAATCTTCAAGCCTTGACGTCCAGTGTATCTGGGCAACTTCACTGTCCGCATTCTGAAGCAAGCAGGTCAACAAGCTGCTCTCTCGCACGGAACTCGCTTGGTATTGATATGTACTATGAGAAAAAGAATTCCAGATGAAAACACAATGGCTGCACTAACTGCTCCTCACTTGCTACTCGCTTCTGGCTATGCACTTCTGGCGATCCAGGGGCTGCTGCAGCAAGATGTGCAGGAGTTCGTGTCGTCCGTAGTCACCG